CGCTGAACAGGTTTTAATAAAATTTGGCACAGAGATAGCTTACATGTTAGAGATGGACATAGGCTACATTTTACTGCGAGAAAATATCTTACTCCCACGAGAAAATTCAATATAACGCGGGCGAAGCTGTGGGTAGACAGCTAGTGATAAATAAAATAAGTCTTTTTACATTTATTACCTTTAAAATACAATTCTAATAATAATGAAAATAACATAAGGTTATTTAATTTTAATGTAACAAATGTGCACGATTTTCTTTGCACAACTTTGTAAAATCTGGTTGCTTTTTGGTCAGCTTCAGTCTCAAGTCATCTTCGAGTTGAAGTCGGTGATGATGTCTAGTTTTCATGTTTGTCATGGCCGAAAATCCGCTCTCGCAGAGGTATGTTGTGCAAAATGGTAGTAAATATTTTATTACCGCTTTGCTGACATGATAAATGTCTTTTAGGTCAGCCAAAAATTACTCAGTGATTGCTCTGCAAAACAACTCTCGAGTCTGCTGTTGCATGAAATGTCTATTAATTCCTCTTGGTCAGAGATGGGAAGGTGGTCAGTGGAGTTATTCGCAACAGCAACAAAAATTTTCAAAATTAATTTTGCGATAACAAATTGTGTTAATTGTACAATTTTTGTTTCTTGCGTAAGAATTTCATTTAGGTATTGTCGCAAATTCATTTTTTTAAATGAAATTTTGAGAATATTTTTAGTTATAAATAAGCGAATTTGTGCGTTCGACATCATGTTGTAAATTACCGAATTTTTGATGGTCCATCCATTATTTTTTTTTTGCTTCATTTCATGCATTTAAATTTTAAATTGACCGATTTTAGATTGCCGCACGTACCCCTTCATGCAATTTCATGTACCCCTGGGGGTATGTGTACCACTAATTGGGAACCATTGGTTTACTGTAAACAGTAAACCAATGGTTCCCAATTAGTGGTACACATTGGAAACCAATTGTACACATTGTGTACAACGACTTTGATGTGTGTGACAAAATTAAAGATCCCGCCAAGTGTGAGGTTTATGGTAATGTGATAAATGAAGCTTCAGTTCAAAACAAATGGCAGGGATTGTTGTCCAGAAGCATTGTGCTTCTTCAGGATAGCACATGTCCACAGCTGCTGCATTGATGAACTTGCTTCAGCAGTTTAAATGGGAAGTTTTCGAACATCCTCCTCATAGCCTAGACTTGGCTCCAAGTGATTACCATCTTTTCCCAAAATTGAAGGATTTTTTGGCCGGGAATCACTATGGAACTGACAACAAACTGAAAGAGGCCATTAATGACTGGTTCAAGAACTTGGCAGTAACTGAGTGTGTAGAAGCATAGAAAAGCTGATGAAACTCTATGACAAATGTTTAAATTTGTATGGCAACTATGTAGAAAAATAGCTAAAGTATCATATATGTTGTAAAATACATTTTGTTTCATTATCTTAAATAAAAATATCTAGAGATACAAACGTTCTTTACTTAAAATGACCTTCGTACTTTCAGCAGTGTATTAGTCTTCATCAGACAAATACAAAAATTTTTTGTCTGATGAAAACAGTAATGCACCATTGAAAGTACTTGCATTTATTTTGTATTTATTAGAGTTTTATGCCAAAAGACAGTTGTTTATTGTGTTGCTTAAACTTTCTAGTCAGAAAAACATTCCTAATTTTTCACTATTGCTTTACCTCTTTCAAAAAAGAGATGTCCCTCATAGGATAATACCCCACATTTTGTGAAACTGTACTATATATTTAAATTTCTTAAATTTACAGTCGACCCCCCATAACATGGGTTCATACAGTTCAGATTCCTATATGACGGCGAAAAAATTGCGACAGTATTCATACAAACACGCTAAAAAAACTCGTATAATTTGGTAAAACGTCATCGCTGACTTGTGTTGCGACAGGATTGGTCGAATCTAGACTAATAGTGGATATCGTACAAACTGTTGAGTTTAAACGAGCAGCAGACCTACTAAAAACCATTTATTATTTAACGTCCATAAAAATTATATTTATATTAATGATGTCTCCAAAGTTCAGCAAATTTTTCGCAAAAGAAATAATTTATCAGGAAGCACGCGAGCGCCATTCGATGACAAGCTCCACAACGAAAACAAGCTTAAGCAATGGCGTCATCAAACGGTGCACACTCGGTAAGTAATTCTACAATTTTTTGTTTATAGCGTAGTTTATATGAATTATTCCCAAAAAATTATTTGTATTTTGGAAATGTTGAGTCGAATTAGTCTAGAATCTATTAATTTTATGGAAGAAAACCTTTCAAACAGCCGTAGTCCGTAAACTGCATACATGCTGGGCTGTGATTGGCTCATGTATTCAAAGACTCTTAGAACATCAATTTCATAAAGAATGGAACGTATCTACCATGTTATGGGGGGTCGACAGTATATATATTTTATTCTCTTTAAATTATAAATTTCTTTTTTGGTTAGATTCAACATTGTTATAATGAATTTTTGAATCTATTAACAAATTAAAATAAAACATAATTTACAATAATATGCCAAATTGAAAATATAATAATTTTAAACAAATATCTTTAAATTAAAATCTAAAATAATAAAAATTAAAATATTTATAATTTTAACTTAATGTTAAGATAAGTTTCATACCAAAACAATTGCTTCATAAAAAAAAAAGCTCTAAATTCAAATGTAATTCAATACACACTTGCTAATTTGGCCTCTCAATTATCTGGCATATCCCAATGTAATTCCATTTCCACAAAAATATTAGTCATGTCACACATTCTGTTTTCCTGTTTACTTAGATTTAATTTCTGTGTACAGTATTGCATTCCATGCCATATTTCCCACCTTCCTCCAAAAAGAATTAGTACAGTTAAACCTCACTTAACGAGCATAATTTGTTCCAGATTCTTCCTCATAATGCTAAACATTCATTAAGTGAAACAGTTTTTTCCCCATAGAAATTAATGTAAAATACATAATGTGTTCTATGTCGAAAAAATATTCAAATATTTTAAGTATAATGTTTATTCAAAGAAAATTATACAATATACATTGTTAAGAAGTGTGAATCATCATCATCTTTTCTTTTAGCATGGAATGAACCAACCTGGAATGTGAATTAAATTTGCAAAAAACAAAAAAAAAAAATTACAGATAGTAGTATGTCTCATAAACACACCAAACGCTATGCAAAATTATGTAAAGGCTATAATTAAATATTAAAAATTAATTAATTTGACTACACAAAAGCCTNAAGTTAAGGGGACCGGAAAATCCAATTATGTTTAATTATACTAGAATATAAAATTTAAACAACAAAAGCTTAAAAGGAGTAATTTTATATAATTATGATAAATTTCTCTATTTAAAAAAAAAAAAAAACTAAGGAAGGCACTAGTTCAAAGTTAAAATTGTGTGGGGTCCATGTTATGAAATTTTGTTAAAAACTCATTTTTATATTAATTATTATAAAAAAGGCAGAAGGCTTAATTTTGAGGATAGAAGTAGCTTTTGAATATTATTATAAATTCCAATAATGAGTAAAATTTTCATTAATCCAACCTCACCCAAGATATGACTTGACCCTTATTGCCTTACCATTTGACTTTTAACACCAAAGTTTAATAGCATCAATGCCCCATATATAGAAAGAATCTAGTAATTTCAAAATCTTTGGCTCATTCAATCCTGAGATATAATGCAAAACAAACACTGACACACACACACACACTTTTATAAGGAAATTTGTTTTTAGATATTTGAACTCAAGTGTCAAAATGTAAACAAATGAAAAAAAAATGGGAGGTGGTCAAAATCTGACCAATCATTATACTTTCCCTATGTTATATCCTATAATAGTTGGGAAAGTAAAAATCTTCACTTTTTTACTTTGGTTTGTCTTATAATTTAAAAATTTATTTGAAATTACATTTCTTTTGCAAAAAAGCAAAACACCTGAAAAACAATATTGAATTCAATTCAGAGAAATAACTCTTTAAAATGATTAATAAAAATATTGATATATTATATTTTTGTATTTTACATAAATCACATTTTGTCTTTTTGTAATATTTGAAGTATAGCATTATTCATTTTTTTCTTTATCTTACTATTTTTGAATGAAAAACAAGCATCTTAATAGAACTGAATCTTTCAAAAATTGCAAATTATTATTATTTTTTATTACCAATTAAATGTATAATTGCTTTCTAATCTATTTAATTATTATGGACCATAAAGCATAATGAGAAATGTAATAACTATCTATAAAAAATATTATACAAAACAATTATTGTTGTTATCAGCTTTCAATCTTTTATAGCTTCAGAAATAAAAATTTTACAATAACCACAACTATTATTAGAAAACTGCAATTTGTATATAGTCATATTAAATATACAATTTTAAAAATTTACTTTGGATATAAAAAAAACTAATACTTACAGCATACATATAATAATCAAATAATTGAAACATACAATTAAGAACGTCAAAAGCAATCGGTTTCAAAACATGCATCATTTGCATATATTTGCCTAAAAAAATTGTTTACTGTTAATTGTTATATATATAAACTATATTACTCATATAGAAACAGTAAAAAAATATATTTGCCATACCAAATAATCTCAAAACATTCAAAGTTGTATTTGTCAAAATAGGAGGTTGCTTTTTCTTGGTAGTGAAGTTATGTTTTTTGTGTGTTTTTGAAACTCTAAATAAAAGTAAATAATATAATTTATTATATGACACAAACAGTATTATAAAGTAATTTCTCTTCTAAGATAAAAATTTAAAAATTTTCCATTTATGTGATTTGTCTAATAATTGCTATTTGCTATTTAATACAGGGTGTTTCTGAGATAATGGGACAAACTGGGGATGATTCCTCACAGGAAAATGAAAAAAGGCAAGTAAACATATATCTGAAAATGGATGGTTTTCAAGAAATCAAACTTATGACAGTATCAGATTTAAGACAGATTTTATTACATATTCTCTTGATTACATAGCACTCTTCATCAAAAAAATGTTCAAAATAGTCTTCATAAGCATCTATGTAAGCATGGAGACTTGAAAACATGGACTGCTGTACTTTTTAGAAGGTTTCAGGCCTTCTGCAAATGGTAGTGCCGACACTGACAATGCATTGCAGCAGCATGTTGACATTACCAATAGGAGCAGCATACACTAGCATCTTCAGGTGACACACAGATAAAAATCCAAAGGATTCAGACTGGGAATGTAGATGCCATGCCACTGGACCTGCTCTGCCTATGTATCTGTGTGGATATATAGTTTATTGTTTAATATAGCACATGCATATTGATTAAAGTGAGCTCCAGCTCACTTTATTTAATCAATGTGTACATGCTATAAAAGTTGATTAAAGTAAGCTGGAGCTCATTTTAGTCAAGAGTTATGTAAGAGAGTTATATAATAAAATTTATCTTGCATCTGACATTGTCATAAGAGGTTTGATTTCTCAAAACTGTCTATTTCTGGACATGTTTATATACCTTTTAATTTCTTTATTTTCCTGTAAGGAATCATCCTGAAGTTTGTCCCACCATTTCAGAAACACTTTGTATAAGTTAAGCCAAAAGCATATTGTACATCAGAAACTCTGAAAAGAGCTTTTTCTTGATTTTCCGAGCACTCAAACAGGAAGTTAAGGGGACCGGAAAATCCAATTATGTTTAATTATACTAGAATATAAAATTTAAACAACAAAAGCTTAAAAGGAGTAATTTTATATAATTATGATAAATTTCTCTATTTAAAAAAAAAAAAAAACTAAGGAAGGCACTAGTTCAAAGTTAAAATTGTGTGGGGTCCATGTTATGAAATTTTGTTAAAAACTCATTTTTATATTAATTATTATAAAAAAGGCAGAAGGCTTAATTTTGAGGATAGAAGTAGCTTTTGAATATTATTATAAATTCCAATAATGAGTAAAATTTTCATTAATCCAACCTCACCCAAGATATGACTTGACCCTTATTGCCTTACCATTTGACTTTTAACACCAAAGTTTAATAGCATCAATGCCCCATATATAGAAAGAATCTAGTAATTTCAAAATCTTTGGCTCATTCAATCCTGAGATATAATGCAAAACAAACACTGACACACACACACACACTTTTATAAGGAAATTTGTTTTTAGATATTTGAACTCAAGTGTCAAAATGTAAACAAATGAAAAAAAAATGGGAGGTGGTCAAAATCTGACCAATCATTATACTTTCCCTATGTTATATCCTATAATAGTTGGGAAAGTAAAAATCTTCACTTTTTTACTTTGGTTTGTCTTATAATTTAAAAATTTATTTGAAATTAAAACTTTCAAAGAATTTTTGGATTTTTTAAAATAAGTGGAACTTGTAAAAGTATTCCACCTACCAGAAGTCATTTGAGCAAGTTTTGCATATCAGAGAGCAATGACCATAAATTCAACAGTTAAATTCCTTCCATAGTTCCAGATGTGCATAGGCAATTAGAGAAGATGTCTCATGTTGCTTTGGGATATTTTTAAACAGACATTTTTAGAGATGACCAAGTAGCCTCAAATAAAGGGCTGATGAAAAAGTGTTCATGTTATTAAAAAATATAATAAGGAAGTAATAACACCTGAGTTTAATATCAAATACAAAACAACCCAAAATTATTTTAAATAAAATTTAGACTAATTACTTTGACAAAATAATATTTTAAGTTATCACACTGAAAATTTTTATAATCTAAATTGATTTAAATCTTTTTAAGGCACTTTCATTTAATTTGATATTTATGAAAACTACATTAAATATGAAATGTAAAAATGTTGGCTATTCTAACATTAATACTATGAAAAAATGCCACATCATGTATGATAATGCAATATAATAATTGGTTAAGGGAATATCTTTTAATAATAAATAACTTTTAAAATAAATATTCATTTAACTCAAAAAAACACATACAGGTAACTCTTGTATAATGCAGTACTTATATGACACAGTTTCAATATTATGCAGTTCAGAAACGGCAGCAATTCTTGAACAACACAGTATTTATACTATGCAATTTTGATACAAGTTGTTATGAAATAATCTGTTCATCTTATTCTAGCAAATGTTCTTTCAGTTGCTACAACATAGTTCACTAATATAGACAGATTGTGCATTTTCTATCAGCAAAATGTTGTTTTGGAAGATATTAGTGAAGACAAATCAAATTTATTTTTTGTGGGCAATGAAAGAATTGTTATTTATGATTCTTTTTTTTTTACAAATTTTAATAAGTTTATTTTTGTTTTGTAATTCATGTGTTGTTAAATGAAATTTTCTTAATTAAATAAAACAGTTTATATAAGAAACATGTAATAAAAATAAAATGTAAGAAACATGATAGATAAATTTTTATTTGTCAGAACCCATTCTAAAAATTTAATATCCAAAGTAAATAAGTTGTTAAGCTAAAAAAATCATAGAAATCAACAAGGAAGTTAATGAGATTTTATCTCTTGATCACACTTTCTTTCGAAAAGATAGTTTCCTGGAGCAACAATTCAGGGAAGTCAATGAAAAAATTTGAGGTTGGTCATCACATTCTTCATGATATTACCAAATTTGGGTATATTGTGATTCAGGAGAAGGTACCCTATAAAAGAGCAAAGTAAAAAGAGGTTAGAGGTTACCTGTCTCTGGGGTTTGTTCATTGCCTGAATTCTCTCTGTTAGTGTATCTGCATTTGGATTTGATGTCCATAAACTTATGCAGTATCTGAGATAAGGACATTTTGATATTCTAAAGACTTATTGCATCAAAGGAGCACCAAACTGTCTAAAGAACCTTAACCTGTCCAGTGTTATTCCTGACATCTTGGTTTGCAACCTGTTGACCTTAACTGATTGACCCAAAATATCTTGTATCATCATTGAAACTAGATGTCGCTAGTCATTATAATTTTTATATTAAAACTTCCGAAATATAATTTTTTTTGTTTTTACACTTATTAATATATTTATTTTGTTTGTGCAAAATTAAAAAATAATTTTGGACAATACAATAGCCACAATTTTTTTTTCCAAAAATGTGTAATTTTCGTTAGGCCTTAACATCGACAAAAATTCAATGTAACACCACATGCAACAGAGAAAAATTTCAACATCTGATAGGTTAAGGATGTTTGTTCTTAGGAAGAAGTTATTTGACACATGATTAAATTGTAAAACTCCCTTCCTAGACAGAATTAGTTGCGAGTAGGATGCCAAATAATACAGAAAAGTATAGGATATAGTAATAGATGTAAATATAGGTAAAGATAAAAAAGCTGTTGTCATTTGTGCAATAGTTTTACTTATGTTAAAATAAATCTAGTTGTTTTATTGTTACTTCACTGTCAAATCAATCACTTCTGAGCGCTATGTCTCTCCTATCCTTCCTTGATTTGCTTGCCCTCTGCTCCCCATACAATACTGCTGACACATGTACTCAAAGGTTTTCTGTGAATCCAATCACAGGTGGTGTCAGAAAAATCCTAAACCAAGGGGATGCTGCTCACATATTTAAAAAATCGTTTTGCAATGTAAAACGCACTTTTTATATGTAATGTGACATCTCATATAACAATTTTTATAAAAGCATTTTTGGCAGAACTTAAAACTTTTTGAATTTATGCTATGTAAATTAATTTTTAAAAAGTCATATACATTTCACAGAATATATTAATACACACTTCTGATAATCATCAGCATTTTCTTCTACATATTCTTTTTTCAATTCTTCTGGTACATCAGAATCATCGCTGTCAGAACTAAAGCTGTGTCGGGAAGTACTTTCATCAGTCTGAAAATATTTTAATAACTATTAATTAATTAAATCATTAAATTTTAAGTTAAAACATAATAAATTCAAATAAAAACAACATATGTCAAAATCATACAAAATATAAATAATGAATGCACCTTCAAAAATGTTTCAGAGTACTGAATAATGTCCAACTTTTATATCTTAGGTTTTATCTGGATAATATATATTTAAAATTTTCTCTGCTTTTTAGTAAGATTATATATTTTTCTTTAAAATAATCTTTAGTATATAATATACAAAAATATCTTCTAGACTAATGATTTTCAAACTTTTCTAATAATGCTCTACCATGAGAAAAATTTTTCATATCCCACCTTTTCCCAAATAAACTAAATTAATATTTGCTACAATAGGTGTTTTGCTCAAATTTAAAATTTGTTATAATTTTTTAACATTTGCATGCACACATGCAAAGACATAAAAAAATGTATAATATTAAAAATTGTTAGTGTAATAAATTGTCAGTATAACATTATCAAAATATGATGTATAATGACATTGCTAGCCATAATTCTTGTTTAACTATCAATGAAGATCAAAATTTTTTTCTTTATATCATATGTAAGTAAGATGCCTGTTTCTTACAAATATGATATTGAAAATGACAGCAAAATATCCATCATCTTTTATATAAATCAGAGACTCATCAAAACTTTGTCATTGCAAAAATTTGAACACATACTTGACAGCAAATTAGATAAGCAATACAAACAACTGTCTTTCAGCATTAAAATTCTAATAAACACAAAACATGCAAGTAAAGGGTCATTCTAAAAGAAAAGAACATTTTGATCTGATGAACCGCGCAGTTCTCCCACCCCACTGCCGCGTCATGGACTTTTCCATTTTTTCATGTCAGTCTGATGCTAACAGCGAGCCGCAACGATCGTTTACTGCAGTGGTTCCCAATTAGTTTTTCCTGCATACCACTTCAAGAAAGAGCTCAAACTCACATATCTCTTATAGCAGAAATTCATTTTAATCTATACTAATATTATAAATTCGAAGGTAATTCTCTGTCTGTCTGTTACCTTTTCACGTCTAAACCGCTGAACAGGTTTTAATAAAATTTGGCACAGAGATAGCTTACATGTTAGAGATGGACATAGGCTACATTTTACTGCGAGAAAATATCTTACTCCCACGAGAAAATTCAATATAACGCGGGCGAAGCTGTGGGTAGACAGCTAGTGATAAATAAAATAAGTCTTTTTACATTTATTACCTTTAAAATACAATTCTAATAATAATGAAAATAACATAAGGTTATTTAATTTTAATGTAACAAATGTGCACGATTTTCTTTGCACAACTTTGTAAAATCTGGTTGCTTTTTGGTCAGCTTCAGTCTCAAGTCATCTTCGAGTTGAAGTCGGTGATGATGTCTAGTTTTCATGTTTGTCATGGCCGAAAATCCGCTCTCGCAGAGGTATGTTGTGCAAAATGGTAGTAAATATTTTATTACCGCTTTGCTGACATGATAAATGTCTTTTAGGTCAGCCAAAAATTACTCAGTGATTGCTCTGCAAAACAACTCTCGAGTCTGCTGTTGCATGAAATGTCTATTAATTCCTCTTGGTCAGAGATGGGAAGGTGGTCAGTGGAGTTATTCGCAACAGCAACAAAAATTTTCAAAATTAATTTTGCGATAACAAATTGTGTTAATTGTACAATTTTTGTTTCTTGCGTAAGAATTTCATTTAGGTATTGTCGCAAATTCATTTTTTTAAATGAAATTTTGAGAATATTTTTAGTTATAAATAAGCGAATTTGTGCGTTCGACATCATGTTGTAAATTACCGAATTTTTGATGGTCCATCCATTATTTTTTTTTTGCTTCATTTCATGCATTTAAATTTTAAATTGACCGATTTTAGATTGCCGCACGTACCCCTTCATGCAATTTCATGTACCCCTGGGGGTATGTGTACCACTAATTGGGAACCATTGGTTTACTGTAAACAGTAAACCAATGGTTCCCAATTAGTGGTACACATTGGAAACCAATTGTACACATTGTGTACAACGACTTTGATGTGTGTGACAAAATTAAAGATCCCGCCAAGTGTGAGGTTTATGGTAATGTGATAAATGAAGCTTCAGTTCAAAACAAATGGCAGGGATTGTTGTCCAGAAGCATTGTGCTTCTTCAGGATAGCACATGTCCACAGCTGCTGCATTGATGAACTTGCTTCAGCAGTTTAAATGGGAAGTTTTCGAACATCCTCCTCATAGCCTAGACTTGGCTCCAAGTGATTACCATCTTTTCCCAAAATTGAAGGATTTTTTGGCCGGGAATCACTATGGAACTGACAACAAACTGAAAGAGGCCATTAATGACTGGTTCAAGAACTTGGCAGTAACTGAGTGTGTAGAAGCATAGAAAAGCTGATGAAACTCTATGACAAATGTTTAAATTTGTATGGCAACTATGTAGAAAAATAGCTAAAGTATCATATATGTTGTAAAATACATTTTGTTTCATTATCTTAAATAAAAATATCTAGAGATACAAACGTTCTTTACTTAAAATGACCTTCGTACTTTCAGCAGTGTATTAGTCTTCATCAGACAAATACAAAAATTTTTTGTCTGATGAAAACAGTAATGCACCATTGAAAGTACTTGCATTTATTTTGTATTTATTAGAGTTTTATGCCAAAAGACAGTTGTTTATTGTGTTGCTTAAACTTTCTAGTCAGAAAAACATTCCTAATTTTTCACTATTGCTTTACCTCTTTCAAAAAAGAGATGTCCCTCATAGGATAATACCCCACATTTTGTGAAACTGTACTATATATTTAAATTTCTTAAATTTACAGTCGACCCCCCATAACATGGGTTCATACAGTTCAGATTCCTATATGACGGCGAAAAAATTGCGACAGTATTCATACAAACACGCTAAAAAAACTCGTATAATTTGGTAAAACGTCATCGCTGACTTGTGTTGCGACAGGATTGGTCGAATCTAGACTAATAGTGGATATCGTACAAACTGTTGAGTTTAAACGAGCAGCAGACCTACTAAAAACCATTTATTATTTAACGTCCATAAAAATTATATTTATATTAATGATGTCTCCAAAGTTCAGCAAATTTTTCGCAAAAGAANTAGCGGAATGCGTGCTAAACACAGACTTATGGAGCATGCGCACAATCCAGGATTTCCCCTCTCCTTGTCACTCATTACGCAAAACATCACTCATTAAGCGAGTCAATTTTTTTATAACTTGTTTTGCTTGTTATGCGAAATACTCGTTAAGCAAGGTTCCACTGTACCTAAGTGCAACAGGCTACATCATTCATTGCCTTTAGGCCATTACACACTCAGTAATCCAGCACTCTTGCTAATATGGATCCCTCTGTGCATGGCATGGCCAAATTAGCAATAATCCAGTGTAATTCAAGAGTTTAAATTAGAACTTTTTCTATAGATAAAACTGAGGAAATTTTGATAATTTATTATTGGAAATTCAATATTATCAATCTGTTTTATCTACATTTATAAAAGATAAAAGAAATAAACAACAATATTTTTCCATAAATTATTCTGATATTTGACTTTTAAATTTATTATTCACCTGCAGTTCCAATAAACAAAAAATTTTTTTAATATAACTTAATCATANAACTTTTAAAATAAATATTCATTTAACTCAAAAAAACACATACAGGTAACTCTTGTATAATGCAGTACTTATATGACACAGTTTCAATATTATGCAGTTCAGAAACGGCAGCAATTCTTGAACAACACAGTATTTATACTATGCAATTTTGATACAAGTTGTTATGAAATAATCTGTTCATCTTATTCTAGCAAATGTTCTTTCAGTTGCTACAACATAGTTCACTAATATAGACAGATTGTGCATTTTCTATCAGCAAAATGTTGTTTTGGAAGATATTAGTGAAGACAAATCAAATTTATTTTTTGTGGGCAATGAAAGAATTGTTATTTATGATTCTTTTTTTTTTACAAATTTTAATAAGTTTATTTTTGTTTTGTAATTCATGTGTTGTTAAATGAAATTTTCTTAATTAAATAAAACAGTTTATATAAGAAACATGTAATAAAAATAAAATGTAAGAAACATGATAGATAAATTTTTATTTGTCAGAACCCATTCTAAAAATTTAATATCCAAAGTAAATAAGTTGTTAAGCTAAAAAAATCATAGAAATCAACAAGGAAGTTAATGAGATTTTATCTCTTGATCACACTTTCTTTCGAAAAGATAGTTTCCTGGAGCAACAATTCAGGGAAGTCAATGAAAAAATTTGAGGTTGGTCATCACATTCTTCATGATATTACCAAATTTGGGTATATTGTGATTCAGGAGAAGGTACCCTATAAAAGAGCAAAGTAAAAAGAGGTTAGAGGTTACCTGTCTCTGGGGTTTGTTCATTGCCTGAATTCTCTCTGTTAGTGTATCTGCATTTGGATTTGATGTCCATAAACTTATGCAGTATCTGAGATAAGGACATTTTGATATTCTAAAGACTTATTGCATCAAAGGAGCACCAAACTGTCTAAAGAACCTTAACCTGTCCAGTGTTATTCCTGACATCTTGGTTTGCAACCTGTTGACCTTAACTGATTGACCCAAAATATCTTGTATCATCATTGAAACTAGATGTCGCTAGTCATTATAATTTTTATATTAAAACTTCCGAAATATAATTTTTTTTGTTTTTACACTTATTAATATATTTATTTTGTTTGTGCAAAATTAAAAAATAATTTTGGACAATACAATAGCCACAATTTTTTTTTCCAAAAATGTGTAATTTTCGTTAGGCCTTAACATCGACAAAAATTCAATGTAACACCACATGCAACAGAGAAAAATTTCAACATCTGATAGGTTAAGGATGTTTGTTCTTAGGAAGAAGTTATTTGACACATGATTAAATTGTAAAACTCCCTTCCTAGACAGAATTAGTTGCGAGTAGGATGCCAAATAATACAGAAAAGTATAGGATATAGTAATAGATGTAAATATAGGTAAAGATAAAAAAGCTGTTGTCATTTGTGCAATAGTTTTACTTATGTTAAAATAAATCTAGTTGTTTTATTGTTACTTCACTGTCAAATCAATCACTTCTGAGCGCTATGTCTCTCCTATCCTTCCTTGATTTGCTTGCCCTCTGCTCCCCATACAATACTGCTGACACATGTACTCAAAGGTTTTCTGTGAATCCAATCACAGGTGGTGTCAGAAAAATCCTAAACCAAGGGGATGCTGCTCACATATTTAAAAAATCGTTTTGCAATGTAAAACGCACTTTTTATATGTAATGTGACATCTCATATAACAATTTTTATAAAAGCATTTTTGGCAGAACTTAAAACTTTTTGAATTTATGCTATGTAAATTAATTTTTAAAAAGTCATATACATTTCACAGAATATATTAATACACACTTCTGATAATCATCAGCATTTTCTTCTACATATTCTTTTTTCAATTCTTCTGGTACATCAGAATCATCGCTGTCAGAACTAAAGCTGTGTCGGGAAGTACTTTCATCAGTCTGAAAATATTTTAATAACTATTAATTAATTAAATCATTAAATTTTAAGTTAAAACATAATAAATTCAAATAAAAACAACATATGTCAAAATCATACAAAATATAAATAATGAATGCACCTTCAAAAATGTTTCAGAGTACTGAATAATGTCCAACTTTTATATCTTAGGTTTTATCTGGATAATATATATTTAAAATTTTCTCTGCTTTTTAGTAAGATTATATATTTTTCTTTAAAATAATCTTTAGTATATAATATACAAAAATATCTTCTAGACTAATGATTTTCAAACTTTTCTAATAATGCTCTACCATGAGAAAAATTTTTCATATCCCACCTTTTCCCAAATAAACTAAATTAATATTTGCTACAATAGGTGTTTTGCTCAAATTTAAAATTTGTTATAATTTTTTAACATTTGCATGCACACATGCAAAGACATAAAAAAATGTATAATATTAAAAATTGTTAGTGTAATAAATTGTCAGTATAACATTATCAAAATATGATGTATAATGACATTGCTAGCCATAATTCTTGTTTAACTATCAATGAAGATCAAAATTTTTTTCTTTATATCATATGTAAGTAAGATGCCTGTTTCTTACAAATATGATATTGAAAATGACAGCAAAATATCCATCATCTTTTATATAAATCAGAGACTCATCAAAACTTTGTCATTGCAAAAATTTGAACACATACTTGACAGCAAATTAGATAAGCAATACAAACAACTGTCTTTCAGCATTAAAATTCTAATAAACACAAAACATGCAAGTAAAGGGTCATTCTAAAAGAAAAGAACATTTTGATCTGATGAACCGCGCAGTTCTCCCACCACCCCACTGCCGCGTCATGGACTTTTCCATTTTTTCATGTCAGTCTGATGCTAACAGCGAGCCGCAACGATCGTTTACTGCAGTGGTTCCCAATTAGTTTTTCCTGCATACCACTTCAAGAAAGAGCTCAAACTCACATATCTCTTATAGCAGAAATTCATTTTAATCTATACTAATATTATAAATTCGAAGGTAATTCTCTGTCTGTCTGTTACCTTTTCACGTCTAAACCGCTGAACAGGTTTTAATAAAATTTGGCACAGAGATAGCTTACATGTTAGAGATGGACATAGGCTACATTTTACTGCGAGAAAATATCTTACTCCCACGAGAAAATTCAATATAACGCGGGCGAAGCTGTGGGTAGACAGCTAGTGATAAATAAAATAAGTCTTTTTACATTTATTACCTTTAAAATACAATTCTAATAATAATGAAAATAACATAAGGTTATTTAATTTTAATGTAACAAATGTGCACGATTTTCTTTGCACAACTTTGTAAAATCTGGTTGCTTTTTGGTCAGCTTCAGTCTCAAGTCATCTTCGAGTTGAAGTCGGTGATGATGTCTAGTTTTCATGTTTGTCATGGCCGAAAATCCGCTCTCGCAGAGGTATGTTGTGCAAAATGGTAGTAAATATTTTATTACCGCTTTGCTGACATGATAAATGTCTTTTAGGTCAGCCAAAAATTACTCAGTGATTGCTCTGCAAAACAACTCTCGAGTCTGCTGTTGCATGAAATGTCTATTAATTCCTCTTGGTCAGAGATGGGAAGGTGGTCAGTGGAGTTATTCGCAACAGCAACAAAAATTTTCAAAATTAATTTTGCGATAACAAATTGTGTTAATTGTACAATTTTTGTTTCTTGCGTAAGAATTTCATTTAGGTATTGTCGCAAATTCATTTTTTTAAATGAAATTTTGAGAATATTTTTAGTTATAAATAAGCGAATTTGTGCGTTCGACATCATGTTGTAAATTACCGAATTTTTGATGGTCCATCCATTATTTTTTTTTTGCTTCATTTCATGCATTTAAATTTTAAATTGACCGATTTTAGATTGCCGCACGTACCCCTTCATGCAATTTCATGTACCCCTGGGGGTATGTGTACCACTAATTGGGAACCATTGGTTTACTGTAAACAGTAAACCAATGGTTCCCAATTAGTGGTACACATTGGAAACCAATTGTACACATTGTGTACAACGACTTTGATGTGTGTGACAAAATTAAAGATCCCGCCAAGTGTGAGGTTTATGGTAATGTGATAAATGAAGCTTCAGTTCAAAACAAATGGCAGGGATTGTTGTCCAGAAGCATTGTGCTTCTTCAGGATAGCACATGTCCACAGCTGCTGCATTGATGAACTTGCTTCAGCAGTTTAAATGGGAAGTTTTCGAACATCCTCCTCATAGCCTAGACTTGGCTCCAAGTGATTACCATCTTTTCCCAAAATTGAAGGATTTTTTGGCCGGGAATCACTATGGAACTGACAACAAACTGAAAGAGGCCATTAATGACTGGTTCAAGAACTTGGCAGTAACTGAGTGTGTAGAAGCATAGAAAAGCTGATGAAACTCTATGACAAATGTTTAAATTTGTATGGCAACTATGTAGAAAAATAGCTAAAGTATCATATATGTTGTAAAATACATTTTGTTTCATTATCTTAAATAAAAATATCTAGAGATACAAACGTTCTTTACTTAAAATGACCTTCGTACTTTCAGCAGTGTATTAGTCTTCATCAGACAAATACAAAAATTTTTTGTCTGATGAAAACAGTAATGCACCATTGAAAGTACTTGCATTTATTTTGTATTTATTAGAGTTTTATGCCAAAAGACAGTTGTTTATTGTGTTGCTTAAACTTTCTAGTCAGAAAAACATTCCTAATTTTTCACTATTGCTTTACCTCTTTCAAAAAAGAGATGTCCCTCATAGGATAATACCCCACATTTTGTGAAACTGTACTATATATTTAAATTTCTTAAATTTACAGTCGACCCCCCATAACATGGGTTCATACAGTTCAGATTCCTATATGACGGCGAAAAAATTGCGACAGTATTCATACAAACACGCTAAAAAAACTCGTATAATTTGGTAAAACGTCATCGCTGACTTGTGTTGCGACAGGATTGGTCGAATCTAGACTAATAGTGGATATCGTACAAACTGTTGAGTTTAAACGAGCAGCAGACCTACTAAAAACCATTTATTATTTAACGTCCATAAAAATTATATTTATATTAATGATGTCTCCAAAGTTCAGCAAATTTTTCGCAAAAGAAATAATTTATCAGGAAGCACGCGAGCGCCATTCGATGACAAGCTCCACAACGAAAACAAGCTTAAGCAATGGCGTCATCAAACGGTGCACACTCGGTAAGTAATTCTACAATTTTTTGTTTATAGCGTAGTTTATATGAATTATTCCCAAAAAATTATTTGTATTTTGGAAATGTTGAGTCGAATTAGTCTAGAATCTATTAATTTTATGGAAGAAAACCTTTCAAACAGCCGTAGTCCGTAAACTGCATACATGCTGGGCTGTGATTGGCTCATGTATTCAAAGACTCTTAGAACATCAATTTCATAAAGAATGGAACGTATCTACCATGTTATGGGGGGTCGACAGTATATATATTTTATTCTCTTTAAATTATAAATTTCTTTTTTGGTTAGATTCAACATTGTTATAATGAATTTTTGAATCTATTAACAAATTAAAATAAAACATAATTTACAATAATATGCCAAATTGAAAATATAATAATTTTAAACAAATATCTTTAAATTAAAATCTAAAATAATAAAAATTAAAATATTTATAATTTTAACTTAATGTTAAGATAAGTTTCATACCAAAACAATTGCTTCATAAAAAAAAAAGCTCTAAATTCAAATGTAATTCAATACACACTTGCTAATTTGGCCTCTCAATTATCTGGCATATCCCAATGTAATTCCATTTCCACAAAAATATTAGTCATGTCACACATTCTGTTTTCCTGTTTACTTAGATTTAATTTCTGTGTACAGTATTGCATTCCATGCCATATTTCCCACCTTCCTCCAAAAAGAATTAGTACAGTTAAACCTCACTTAACGAGCATAATTTGTTCCAGATTCTTCCTCATAATGCTAAACATTCATTAAGTGAAACAGTTTTTTCCCCATAGAAATTAATGTAAAATACATAATGTGTTCTATGTCGAAAAAATATTCAAATATTTTAAGTATAATGTTTATTCAAAGAAAATTATACAATATACATTGTTAAGAAGTGTGAATCATCATCATCTTTTCTTTTAGCATGGAATGAACCAACCTGGAATGTGAATTAAATTTGCAAAAAACAAAAAAAAAAATCACAGATTATATGTCTGATGAAAATGCCAAATGATATGCCAAATTCTTGGGCTATGTAAAGGCTATAATTAAATATTAGAAATTAATTAATTTGACTAGAGGTAGGCAGTTATGCTGCCATCTCATATTAAATGTATATAATTATAAATAATTAATTTTTAATTTAGACGTTTTAAAAATTTAATTTGGAATTGGTCATTAAATTTAGTACAAGATGGCATGTTTATTATATAATGAGATATGATTGTCGATGTTTATACATAATATGTGTAAAGACAAGTTTGGAAAAATGTGTGATCACGAGCAACACTAAGATGCTAGCGGAATGCGTGCTAAACACAGACTTATGGAGCATGCGCACAATCCAGGATTTCCCCTCTCCTTGTCACTCATTACGCAAAACATCACTCATTAAGCGAGTCAATTTTTTTATAACTTGTTTTGCTTGTTATGCGAAATACTCGTTAAGCAAGGTTCCACTGTACCTAAGTGCAACAGGCTACATCATTCATTGCCTTTAGGCCATTACACACTCAGTAATCCAGCACTCTTGCTAATATGGATCCCTCTGTGCATGGCATGGCCAAATTAGCAATAATCCAGTGTAATTCAAGAGTTTAAATTAGAACTTTTTCTATAGATAAAACTGAGGAAATTTTGATAATTTATTATTGGAAATTCAATATTATCAATCTGTTTTATCTACATTTATAAAAGATAAAAGAAATAAACAACAATATTTTTCCATAAATTATTCTGATATTTGACTTTTAAATTTATTATTCACCTGCAGTTCCAATAAACAAAAAATTTTTTTAATATAACTTAATCATAATAAACTACAAATTTAATGTTTTACTTATATACAATACAAATTAATGTAGTATCATTAAAATCATCATAAATATTAAAATTATCAGTTAAATATTATGAATAAAACCTTAAACATATTTACCCCATCCAAGGCCATAACATCTTCACCTTCATCATCATCTGTCTGGATATCAAATGGATTAATTTTATTTGTCTTTTTAAAATAGCTATTTCCCTGTTTAGAAATATTGTTAAAAGTCTTCTCCATCTTGCTTTGAGAAGATACAGGTGAATTAGGAAACAATCGAGCAGATGCACAATGACGTAAAAAACGAAATTCCTTTAAAAAATTTAGTAACTTATCAATATTTAAATTAATAACATATTATAAATTGAATAAAAATTAATAATGTTTTTTTTTATATATCATAATTATTATTATTTGTTCAAATCCATAGTCTTCCACAATTTTAATTTTATAAACTTTTTATTTAACAACAAAATCTAAAAAAACTCCAAAATTATTCCAAGTTATCAAAACTTAATTTCTTAGAGCAATTAGTAAACAATCTGGAGAGGGAAATCTTCATTGACAAAAGAAGTTTATAGTCATATAATTTGCACAAGTGTGCAAGACACTTAAAATAATTAAGAAGTATTTTCAAATCTAAGAAAAAAATTAAATGATTCACTTTAAAGTGATACAATAAAAGTTTAGAATCCAGAATTATAAAATAGTTATCCTCCAATTATGTTCTTCCTAACTTAGAATAACTAAAAATAGGACAGCAGAAAAAAAAATTCAGTCAAATAATTAGTTGCATCACTAATGGCAATGATATAATAATTATATCAGGTAGTCCATAAGTTCATGTGTATTTTATGACCTTGAGAAAAAACGTGTTTTGTAGTTAAAATTGTCAGTCTAATGTGATACTTTTTACACTGAAGTGTTAAATTGGATCTCATTCATATAATACTGTTCAGAATTGGGAACATTTCAGTTGTTTATTTTCGTTAAAATGGAAGTAACAGACGAATATAAGAGACATGTTTTATACTTTTTATTTTTAAGTAGTGAGAATACTACAAATGCAGCCAAAAAATTAAATACTGTTCATAATCAAACTGTAATTAGTATAAGGACTGCACAGAAGTGGTTTGAAAGATTTAGAAATAATGATTTTAGTGTGGAGGATAAAGCTCGTACTGGAAGACTTTTATGATGACTTTGACGATGATGCTCTCTCTGCACTAGTTAAAGCAGAATCATCTTTAACAGTTGATGAAATTGCAGAACATTTAAATTCATCCCATGGAACTGTTCATAGACATCTACAACAACTCAGAAAAGTTTCAAAGCTAGGAAAATGGATACCACATGAACTGTCAATAGTGTGAGATCCAGCCTGGGGTACAGGGTAAATTGTTATGCCTGTATCACTTAATAGGCAGCTAGTTGGTGAAACTAGTCTTATTCGTCTACAAGAACGGCCTTTCCCAAAACTTAGGGAAACGAGTGTGGAAGGTCTTACAGTTAATATTTTAAGCGGAAGTTGGTGATGGCGAATTCACCTTCTTCCTTATGTCAGGGTCCTGACACCAGTTTATCTACTTTTAGTAACACGGATAAACACGCGTAAAATTTATGCCGTCAATCTGATTCAGGAAATAATCCAGAGACATCTCTTAACAAAATATATATATAATTTAATAAACAAAACAAACAATACAAATACAGAATAAGAAATAATCTAATAATCCAAACAGTCAATCAAAGAATGAATGATCAAATCAACTTCGACAGGAGGAAATCTATTCTTAGTCTATACCGAGTCGAGAGAGAAATGTGTTCTTAAACTATACATTTACAAGAGAGAGAGCTCACAATTTAGTCTTAAACATATGACCTGTTTACTTGGCTGTGTCGTCTTCTTATCAGTGAAGGTACTTCATGGTTTTCTTAGAATTAACTTGACAGGGTATGACGATGGCATTGGTCTACTGGCATATATGCGTGGAGTCCTTTCCACTCTCCGATCTACAGACGAACTCTTAAGGGCGCTGGCCTTAGAGAGCAATTGAATGGAGTCTGGTTACTCTCAGATCTGACGACGAACTCCTAAGAGCAGTGTGGAGCCAATATGGGAGACGTCCCTCCTCTATGAGATTTTCTGACGGACTCCCCGAATTCTGCTGAACTTCGCATATATCTTCTGATTTACAACCAATTATCAGTCGAGGCTTCATCCACGTGAACGGATGGGAAGGGGAAGAAATGAGGGGTAAACAGTTCCCATCAAAGCGAGATTTTTAAGAGATAAGGGCAAAACAGAGGCTACTCATACTTCCGTCAAAGGAAGTGACTCTCCTAGCTGTTTTCCCATGCTAGAAAAACATTATTTTTCCATCAAAAATGGAAGAATATTTTTCGGGAAAGATTTTACTTTCCTTTTAAATTATTATTTTAGACCCGGGGGCTATTCGGATCTCACAATAGCTAACCGACAACATGTAAACATTTGCACATCTCGCATTTTATCCCGCATTACTTTAGAACCTTTTCTTGATCGGCTGGTTACTGGAGACAAAAAAATGGATCCTCTATAATAATGTGATGAGAAAAAGACAATGGACAGATTGCGACAAGCCAGCTGCAAAAGGTGGGTTGCATCCAAAAAAAATTCTTTTGTCTGTTTGGTGGGATATGTCAAGTGTAATTCACTTTGAGCTGTTAGAACCTAATCAAACAATTACAGCTCAAATGTATTGTGATCAATTAGAGCATTTAAATGAAAAATTGAAAAAAAATCGACCGTCATTAGTGAACAGAAAGCAGGTTCTCTTGCAACATGACCACATGCCACAAAAATAACTGTAGAGAAACTCAAAAGCTTCAACTGGGAAATTTTACCTCATCCACCATATTCGCCAGATATTGCTCCCAGTGATTATCATCTTTTTCACAGTTTGCAGAATTTTTTAAAAGGGAAAACTTTTGAGGATGAGAACAATGTAAAAAAGGCTATTTCTAAATATTTCGATTCAAAACTGAAATCATTTTACGAAGACAGGATTAAAAAGCTACCATCAAGATGGCAAGAAATTGTACAAAATAATGGTGAATACATTATAGATTGAAATAAAATTTAATTAAAATTTTTTATTGCATTTTTTGTAGATAAAAATACGCATGAACTTATGGACTGACCTGATACATCAAATACAGTACTGTAATGGACAATAAATACACTGTATATAACAATAACTTTAAGTTTATTCATGTATAACTTCAACTTCAGTCAGCACTGTGGAGCTTAAAAGTGAAAATAAAACCAACTTTCTGCAGTATTTCTTGTCTGGGGTTATCATTCTAATCACTACTTTATAATAAAGTTAACATAAAGTAATAAATTAAATAAATAAAACCTAGTAATAAAAATACAACCAATTTCACATGAAGTATCTATACATACTCAGTATGATTTTTGCTGGCTTCAAATTTGATTGACTACCTACATGTCTCTGAATTTTGCATAAATAAAAAAATCATAATTAAACTGGTCCTCTATAAAAACTTTCTGAATCTGTCACCAGAACAGACTTCCAAATTTATTTGTATCAACAGCAAAGAAGACAAGTCTTATCATACTTTCTGACACCTCATCAGAGTCATGGTTATTGATATCTTAGTTTAAAATGTACAGTGGGGTACCTCAGGATACGAAATTAATCCGTTCTGAAACTGAGATCGTATCATGAAAATGTCGTAAGGTGAATCATTTATTCCCATACGATTACATGTAAAACCAAATAATTCGTTCCAACACTAAAAACACACTCAAATTAAAGCTAAGTTGTACGTTAAAAAAAATAACTGTAGTAAGGAAAACACTGAAAAATGCATTTTGTAGTTGTAAATGTATNTAGTTTTCATGTTTGTCATGGCCGAAAATCCGCTCTCGCAGAGGTATGTTGTGCAAAATGGTAGTAAATATTTTATTACCGCTTTGCTGACATGATAAATGTCTTTTAGGTCAGCCAAAAATTACTCAGTGATTGCTCTGCAAAACAACTCTCGAGTCTGCTGTTGCATGAAATGTCTATTAATTCCTCTTGGTCAGAGATGGGAAGGTGGTCAGTGGAGTTATTCGCAACAGCAACAAAAATTTTCAAAATTAATTTTGCGATAACAAATTGTGTTAATTGTACAATTTTTGTTTCTTGCGTAAGAATTTCATTTAGGTATTGTCGCAAATTCATTTTTTTAAATGAAATTTTGAGAATATTTTTAGTTATAAATAAGCGAATTTGTGCGTTCGACATCATGTTGTAAATTACCGAATTTTTGATGGTCCATCCATTATTTTTTTTTTGCTTCATTTCATGCATTTAAATTTTAAATTGACCGATTTTAGATTGCCGCACGTACCCCTTCATGCAATTTCATGTACCCCTGGGGGTATGTGTACCACTAATTGGGAACCATTGGTTTACTGTAAACAGTAAACCAATGGTTCCCAATTAGTGGTACACATTGGAAACCAATTGTACACATTGTGTACAACGACTTTGATGTGTGTGACAAAATTAAAGATCCCGCCAAGTGTGAGGTTTATGGTAATGTGATAAATGAAGCTTCAGTTCAAAACAAATGGCAGGGATTGTTGTCCAGAAGCATTGTGCTTCTTCAGGATAGCACATGTCCACAGCTGCTGCATTGATGAACTTGCTTCAGCAGTTTAAATGGGAAGTTTTCGAACATCCTCCTCATAGCCTAGACTTGGCTCCAAGTGATTACCATCTTTTCCCAAAATTGAAGGATTTTTTGGCCGGGAATCACTATGGAACTGACAACAAACTGAAAGAGGCCATTAATGACTGGTTCAAGAACTTGGCAGTAACTGAGTGTGTAGAAGCATAGAAAAGCTGATGAAACTCTATGACAAATGTTTAAATTTGTATGGCAACTATGTAGAAAAATAGCTAAAGTATCATATATGTTGTAAAATACATTTTGTTTCATTATCTTAAATAAAAATATCTAGAGATACAAACGTTCTTTACTTAAAATGACCTTCGTACTTTCAGCAGTGTATTAGTCTTCATCAGACAAATACAAAAATTTTTTGTCTGATGAAAACAGTAATGCACCATTGAAAGTACTTGCATTTATTTTGTATTTATTAGAGTTTTATGCCAAAAGACAGTTGTTTATTGTGTTGCTTAAACTTTCTAGTCAGAAAAACATTCCTAATTTTTCACTATTGCTTTACCTCTTTCAAAAAAGAGATGTCCCTCATAGGATAATACCCCACATTTTGTGAAACTGTACTATATATTTAAATTTCTTAAATTTACAGTCGACCCCCCA